AGTGAGCGAGCCTTGAGGGGCCGGTAGAGCCCCTTCCCCACTGGACAAAGAACCCACTTAAATCCACCACCGTCTGGCCTTGGTCCTTACTGGGAAAGGTTACAATCGGCACACACTCTGACAAATGACCCGGCAGTAGTCACAGGTGTTCAGCAGCTCGGCGGTGATGGAACCATGACTCTCATTTCAGCCCTTTTTTGTCACTGTCCTCTGAGAAGTGAACACGTAATAGATGAGATCCACAGGGGTTTAGACCTTTATGATATAGACTGAACAAGACACATGGTGTATGGTAATCTGATCACTTGTTGTTATCTCTGTGTGTTACTTAGTCAAACATGATCTCGTCCAAAGTAACTTTGCAACGGACATAACATTTAAAGATACCCAGTATCTGGCCTCCCTGCTACCTTCTGCTGTTTACAAAGCCTGCTTTGTTGCACCGCCGTGTCACTTTGACCCATTTGAGATCAGTTGGCCTGCTGGACGGACAGACACGTGTGCGTGCGTGCGTGCATGCTTGCCATGCATTATTTCATTCTCTTTTGCCTCTGGCAAAAATACAAGTTTATAAGCGAGGGACCTATATTCTTTGACAGTGATGTAGAATAACTTTGACCACACAGACGCTCAGACACACACGTCAACGTTGCATTTTGAATGTGCAACTTTGGACACCATCAAATGCTACGCTGCTCTCCTGCTTTAAAAAAATGAAAACAAGGGTGCGCACACACAAACTCTGCAGCAATCCATGTGTGTATCCTTCATGCATAAACCCCAGCGATGTCTACATGAGTTCAAAGCCCCCACTGAGATTTCTGGGTAATTTATGAGCTGCTTCACTCACTCTCTCCACTCGGAGCCAGGAGAACATACTCATTGATGCATAGACACATATTAGACACCTGCATCGGCCAACATACTCCAGGTTGTGTGTGCGTGTGTGAAGACACACACACCCTTTCCCACGCGCACGCACACACACACACACACACACCATTTTGGAAATGAAGGGATTCTTAAAGTGTGTTTGTCTGTTGATGCCGAGACATTCAGTGGTTCGTAAAGAGCGGCATCATTGCTCTTTTTCTCTCTATCACACACACACACACACACACACACACACACACACACCAGCCATTTATCTTTGTGTTCCACTCCTTTTTAAGCTCTCCAGATATCTTTTTTAGTTTTCATTCTGCACTTTTTGCGGAGCCACATAGCGCTGGTTAATGCAGCGTGCTGCCTAATTAATTCTCGGTGCCAAATGCGCGAGTGTTTTTTGCGTTCGCTACACACGCGTTCTCGATTCACAGCAGTGCACTAAAAAAACAACACCTTGCTCCTCCCATATGAATGCAGGCCAGTATTGACAAATTCCACTTGTGGTCGGCGCCATGTGCGCCCGGACATATTTTCTTGATGTAATACGGTAAAGAAAAAGCAATCATAGGGGGCGATTATTCAACCATTTCCTTCGGCGCGGGCCAGCCAGCACACATCTGCAATCAGTCAAGTGTTATTGTGGGCTGAGTTGTGTGCGCACACCCATGTTTGGTGCCATATGAGCGACTATATTTCATCGTTCTGCAATGTGAATTGGCTGAAGCAACTCCACGGGAAACCACCCCAGCAACGTGCGTGACCTCTAGCTGTTATCTAGAGACCACTCTGGGTTTATATTTACAATTATATGGCATATGCACTCGGTGCAATACAATACTCATATATTATCAGCCGCATCAACGTGCGTCTCTTTGACCTTGGATATCAGCTGACAGTTATGAACTATAAACACACCTTAAGTAGAGTATAAAGCTTCCCGCCATGTTAACCCTTTCAAATCATCCCATTAAAGAGGATTTAGTTAGGACTTAGTTTAGGAGGATTGATGTGCTCTCTTGGTGAATATGCAGCAGAGTCCACACTACTCATTGATTACTGGAACAAAATAAATTAAATTGGCCGCTATTTTTTGAAGCAAGATACTTTCTGTTCTTGTGCTTGAATGACAATGAACTGAAAAGTTTTTGTTTTTGTGTTCTAGAACGGCAAAAATATGAGCTTGGGAAACTTTTACATTTAATTTAAATGTTTTAGCCAAAGCAATCTGTATGATGGATAATCAATCGTGAGCTGCAGCCTCCATAAGCAGGGGACAAAAAATGTTTTTTTTGAATAAATGTTAAATTCACACCTCCCGTTCTTTTTTTGGAGGAGGGGGGGGGTTTAAAGAAGAAAAGACCAAGCCCCAGTGAAGTGCAAATCCTCAAACTCATTCAACACCCCACGCGCCCTGAGAAAATCAAAACAAAACCTCCTCTTCTGCATTTCTAAGACCCTGCTGCCAAAGTCAGCGGAAGGTTGTTGTCTCAACTCCCTCGTCCCCGCCAGAGTTCTGTGTCTTTGAAAGCACCGCACGACGCCGCGTACGGCCTCCAGCCAATAACCCCGCTGAGACCGCGGAGGGAAGCGTTCTTTCAAACGCGAGGCATCTTCAATTCACACGGGGATGTTTTTAGGCCTTAAATGGCAGCACCGACATGAGAATGCAGCCTCCATTAAAATGGTTTACAACCTCAAGGGAAACACCCTTTTATTCCACGCTGATCCATGCTGTTTAAAGCTTCCGGACCTGCAGGAATGCTATTGCACCTTTACCCTGCAGTACCCCTGAGAGACCTATACAGGCTATTGTGTGTGTGTGTGTGTGTGTGTGTGTGTATTTGTGCGCGCAGTGGTCCGTGTTAACCCGTTTGGACTCTTGGGGCTACTGTATACAGTATTTCTTTCCACTGTGAGCCTCCTCCTTAGAAGATGGATTAACCCTTTTAACTTCTTTTCCTTAGGCTCAGACGGCATTGGATTGCTTGTGTGTGTGTGTGTGTGTGTGTGTGTGTGTGTGTGTGTGTGTGTGTGTGTGGCGGACTCCAATCCAGATTGATGGATTTCTCTCCCATGACTACATGATTTAAACCGCTGGCCCCGAGTTGTATTTCATGCGAAGACGATCAGAATCGTTTTGTTGCTTGTAGCCAAATCTTTGTGTACACACCGAGAAGAAACTGGTAGCTTCGGTTGAATACGTGTGTGTGTGTGTGTGTGTGTGTGTGTGTGCGTGTGCACCCCCCCCAAGTTTACAAGCCGTCTTTTGTGTTTTTGTCAGTGTCACTTTGTTCCGAGGAAACCGATTGCCCCCTGGCCATTGGTTGTTACAACAGAAAGTTGTTTCAGGTAATGGCTGTGTGTGTTCCTGTCTCTACCTTTCGTAAAAACACCCAGACATGCACGTCACACACACACACACACACACACACACACACACACACACACACTTTGCTTTTACCGTGTGACTGATCCCTGTGAAAAGGAAAGTAAAGCATTCCGGTTGATAAGCTGGCCACCATGCACCCTTTGGAGAACATAATGCAGGTCCAAAGCCCTGCGTGAGGGACAAAGGAGAAGCGGCTGAGTGACAGGCGGAGGTGGAGGGAGGCATTTGCCGAGGAGGGATGGATGAAGAGGGAGATGCAGAGCGATTAGGCGAGAAGGGATGGATGGAAGGAGGTAGTAAAGGACAGGGAGGAGGGGATATTGATGTTAGCTTAGTAACTGGATCAGCTGGAAGCAGACAAAGACAACGAGTGAGAAAGTAGAAAAAGGCAGAATAACTGGTTATTGACATGTGCTGCAGGCAATTTAGTCAGATCGGGAAATAGTGTGAGGGAGGGTTTTGTTATCTTTTCTCTAGTGTGGATCAATCAGATGATGTAGTGATAAGACTCTGGATTACACCGCCATTTACACCCCCCCCCCCCTGTGTGTGTGTGTGTGTGTGTGTGTGTGTGTGTGTGTGTGTGTGTGTGTGTGTGTGTGTGTGTGTGTGTGTGTGTGTGTGTGTGTGTGTGTGTGTGTGTGTGTGTGTGTGTGTGTGTGTCACATGTCTGGTGGCTCTGGGTCATGCACACTGACGCCCATTCAGTTTCTCTCGCACGCACGCACACGAGCCCGCCTTTTACACTCAAACACATTTTCAGTTTCAGTCAAACACAGTGCTGTATTGCCAAATGGCAAAAATATCTTTATTTCTTTTCAATTAACACAAATGTTTTAATCATCCAAACTTGGGCTCGTAGTTATTATCATTATTTATAATCGTAGTGATTTTAATTAGTTGACGAAGCCGCAGACAGGTCCAGGAGCGCAAGTAAATTGCTCATGTTGTTAAAAACCCAAATACGACTCAACAAGAAATTCTCGTATTTGAGAAGCTGGAAAAAGTCAGTACTTGTAACTAGTGCGGCTTCTCAAAATCAGTCTAAGCAAGGTACCAAATGTGTTTAAAAAAACATTCATTGTCTGTGGCAGTAAAACGCTGCTTCATAGACAACTGAGCAGCGTGGGCGGGGGGGGGGGCTGACTGGTTAAGGCATTTTAAGGGTCAGCGGATCGCCTGGGGCAACGGGCCCCTTGTGACTCGGGAATGCTCCAGATATTGTCACATGGTCACCGGCATTACTGCCATGTAACCGCCGTGACTGAAGGCCTTAGAATGTGCGGATTGTTTTCCACGGCGTGTTAATAATAAAGAGGAGAGTGTGTTTATGAATGGCTCATGTAATCAAGGATAACCAAGTTGAAGATGATGACACACGCACCGCCCACAGTGTACAGACCAACGTTTTCATTTCTTTTCACTTGCAAACCCGTGTGCTAAGGCTCGATCTGGACCTCTGTCATGTTTGATTTTTTTCTAAAATAATGCTTCCACACACAAAAAGATGCATTTTAAATGTAATCTGTCAGCAGTGGATGTACTGAATCCAAAAGTGCACAAAATAAAATTGAGTGTGTGTCATCTTTTCAAACATCTTATGACACACACGAGACAATGAAAGCATAGAAAGCTACTTTTACAAAATGTAAATTAATATGTCATCCTCCACTCAATTCTTCTGTGAGGCCTCTCGTCTGATTGTGTTTTGTTCCCCCTCCAGCCGCTGCAGATAGACGATAACTTCTGTGGCCAGGACTTCAACCAGCCTCTGGGGGGAACCAGCACCATCGAGGGCACCCCCCTCTTCATCGACAAAGACGACGGCATGACCTCGGTGGCGGCGTACGACTACCGTGGCAACACCGTGGCTTTTGTTGGCACACGAAATGGCAAACTGAAGAAGGTAGGAATGATTTAATCTTCCTTCTCTCTTTGGGTATCGAGCGGTACATTTTTTATTTTTTATTTAATAAAGTCTAGAGCAAACTTTGCAAATTGATTGACAAGTTTCTTTTTTTCAATTTGGAATGGCAGGTAAATTTTCAGCTAATGTGGGTTATTGTTCACTTAATGGACTGAATGCTTACAGCTTGATCACAGTGCATTTGCACTGAGCACTTTGCAAGTACTTTTTACTCTTAAGATTAAATGCAGTCAACTACATTTTTCTCGTGAGTGGCCGTTTCCAACAGGACATTCAAGGGCCTCTTTGAAACCTGTTCGTTTAACAAGCAATCTAAAGCAAGTCCGTGGCTCCCCCCCCTCATCGATCGCCGTGTTAGTCACGTCGCACATAAAATGTTACTGCTGCGTCCCGGCGCCACGTACCGCCTTGCCTCTAATTTTAAGAGCTTGCCTTCAATCAATCCAACAGCTATGACTGCCGAATGGCTTTTCTGTTCTGGTCAGCTGTGTTGTGTGGATTAATTCAGGTGGTTAGACGGAGGGTAGGACAGTGGGCTGCAGCGCTGATGGATGGACCAATTAACTTTCTGTGTTCTGTTGGGGTTTGACTTTCAGTTCAACTTTCCTCACGTTAAGAGAATAATTTCATACCCATCATTTTTTATTTTTTATTAACCTTTGAGAGTTCGCGGCTCGAGTCAACATCGGATTTCTGTTTTGACCAGACTTGATCCTCCTGTGGAAGAATGAGAAGGCTCCTAAATGACACGATGTTAACCGTAGTATGTTAATGTCACATTAATGTGGGGTTGAATCTTGCTTCATATGGTGACTGTTAGATGTTCATTCTTACAATGAACCATAGAATTACAATTCTGCTTGTGTAACATGCTTGTGTGCTGCCTGGGTATTCGCTACTATGTGTCACCGCTTTGAACGCACGCACACACCTGTTTGTGTGTGTTTGTATGCAGTCTATGGACGACGGGTAAACGTTACCTCATTAGAATTCAACCCATTTCCCGCCGCAGCGCTCCAGACCTGTCATCCATTCAGTATTATGAATGTATAATCAGCCTGTGTGTTTGTGTATTTCTAATGCCTGTTCTTGTATGCACGCAGCATTTGTGTGTTTGTCACCAACAGTTCGCACGATGATGTGTGCGCTTGTGATGGCGTGGATTTGCGTGCGGATGTGTGTGTTTGTTTTTTATGAGGCAGCGAGAGACAACAAACAATACAGTGTTGACTAAGATTCAGCGCTGTGCATTTGTCAAAGCGGCTCCCCACTCACTTAGCTTGGCAGCAGTCCCTTTATTTATTTAGCTGTCGTCACATGTCATTTCTTATGTGGAACACACCAGAAAGCGACGCTGTACAGCATGCCGGTGAGGTGTATCCTTTATAGGTTTGTTGTGCATCTGTGTGTGTGTGTGTGTGTCTGTGTGTTTAACGGAGCTTCCAGTTATTTTGGCTGCCTTCTGTTTCAGACCGAAAATCCCACTAAAAACAAGAAGTCTGGTCTTGGAAAATCTTCAATTTGCATAGAAGGAAACAATATCCAAACGCTGCCGCTCAAACACACACATTCACAAAAGCTCACGGCCAGAAAAATAATGCCAGTAAGGGAGAAAGAGAAAAAAGACAAAGTAAAAAAGTGGCGATGACAGATTGTAAACAGCAAATGAATTAGTAGCGTGTGAAAACCGGTTCTAACTCTCGGGTCTGGCGGGCCTTCGTCCTCTTCTACTCGGTGTCTATGTTTCCGTAAATGATTTTAGATGTGTGCGTGTTATCTTATCAATGGAATAAGAGGTCCGAGCCATCGGGATCTGTTTCTACGTGTGCGTGTGTTGTCGCCTCCTGGCAGTTTAACGGTGCGTGTGCGGCGCGGTGCCATGATGGAGCGCCTTCCTGCTGCTTCACGTTCCTCTGGAGAGCACCAGCATTGAGTGCTGTTTATATAGCCGGGCCTGAGGGTGCTGAAGGGAGATAGGAGTAGAAACGGGGCGAGTATCGGTAAGATGGATGACTGTGCTGAACGCTTTCTAGTGTGTTTTTCTGTCTTACGAGCAGAGAGGATTTTGTAAGTAATTATTCCAAAAAAACACCATTGTGTTTGCCGGTAGAAAAATGATTGGAAAACTTTAAGCATTACGGCCCAAATGGATCTCTTCCCCATCAGGGTACTTGGTTTCTACTTTAAGTAACATTATTTCACCTGAAGCATCTCTTTATTCCTCCTCGGCCTGGACTCTTCGCGCACAGCGTCTTTACATGCTGCTGCAAATCTCGCTCGTCTCTCCTTTTTTTTCCCCTCCAAAGAAACACCGTGACTAAGCCGCCTGTGTGCCGTGTAAAGCAGTCAGCAGATGGGCATTCAAGTGGAAATGGGGTGATTCTCTCGGTGATGCTTCCTGCACTTTAAGGCCCGCCGAGCATCCACAATACCAGGGCGTTCACCATGACCCAGGCGCGACCGCGCTCACATCCTCGACCTCTATTGGTGGTCCGATAATCCAATATCTATTGTAAGTGCTTGTTTTTAAAAAACAATCGTCATACACATTTACACTCACACATGAAGATTCCTCAGCTGCGCCCTGGTCCGGGGGTCGATTCGAGCCATCTGCCGTTTGTATGTGGCCAGTGTGCCAGGTGGTGGGAGCCCCCCAGTGCCCGCTGCGAGCCCATTGTGGCTCGTGCCAGGCTCAGGTGGCACTGCGGTGGGAAGTTGCATCAATGAAGCGAACCCAAGGCCTCGAACAGCTTGTCAGTTCCGACATACGAGTGAAATATCTAGTGTAACGTACACACCGTCAGAGTAAAATAAATGAGTCCCCAACAAACTTAAATAGATGTCCCTCAAACTGAGAGGATGAATGTTAGAAGATAACATGAATGACCTCTGCACCGGTCAAAGTGTTTCCGTAAACTAATCAGCATTGGTTCAGCTGAGGTCTCCCTGAGCAGGAACGTAGACCTAAATCAGCTCTTATCTGTAAGGATGAGAGGATGACGGCATCATCCAGACAGCTACCATTTAAAGCCATAGATGGGCCTTGATAAATTAGGCCTCTTTTAGACACAGTGGGTTTTCATGAACCGTGGCAGATCATGAGTTTTAATGTCACAAAACTTGTAGGCGGAATAATAATAATTAAACGGTAATAATCTAGCACATCAAATCTAATATACATGCTTTAGCCAGTCGAGCGTTAAAGCTCTCCGGCGTCTTTCACACCCGCCGTGTGGTTATATTGACCACGTGGCCTTCAACGGGTTAAAGCCGACTGGCAGTGACGTTTGTATGTGAGTGACGTATTCCACCAGGACCGTCGGTGTCATCATCAAGAGACCATGTCGCGGCCTAATTGACTGATGATTGTTATTCTACTGGTGCATCATGCTGCCGTGTCAAACCCCCCCTGTGTGTTTCTGTGTGGTTTGCATGTAAATGTCCACCTCCCCGCCTTGAGAAGGCAAAAATAAACACTGCGGAAGCACACCAATAATGTTTGTTGAGTAAATGTGAAGGGAAAGGGAAAAAGAATTGCGTGAGTGTAATGTGGTGGAGTCACTTTAAGGAGGCGGAGGAGGAGGGGGGGCCTGTGTCATCATTTTGGCTCAGTCGAACGGCGGCGCCACGAGTTGCATGGCCCGGGCAGCCGCACAGAGGCTGGCTTTGTGCGGGCGCTTCGGTAGCCCCTCGGTCATTAGTTCACACAACTGCATGTGGTCACAGCAAAAATGTAGAGAGAGAGAGAGAGAGAGAGAGAGAGTGAGAGACGGGGCAAAGGCAGACACAGAGAGCAACGGCGGGGATCAGATACGGTCGAGGGAACAGAAGTTAAGACCAAATAGATCATTTTACACGCAGTTTACACAAGTTTTTTTTTCTTTCTTTTAATTAATTAATTAAGCTCCTTCCCAAAGACCCATCAGTCATTCGATCTCATCCGGATGTTCCCAAATTATCAGCAAGATGTAGCATCATCTGCAGCGGCTTTACCCCTCTCTCCAAAATGCACATCTTTAAAATGGCCTTTTCTGATTAAAAACAGCCCCGTTCAGCCCTAATGATCAATACATCTTTCTCCACCAGTAGCCTCCCACCACATGCGACTTGAAACGTGAAATCCACCCGAGGAACGAGTGTGCACGTGTTTACACCTCCACAAGAAAGCGCTGCACACCCGTCAGGTTTTGTGAATGAGTGCGTCTCCGTGTGTGTGTGTGCTCTGAAGAACCGCATGCATATTAATTATCTCTCGTCATTATGAGGCCCAGTATTTATCCCATCTGTTGGCATGTCCTCCTGTGCGGCTGCACTCGACCCAACGTCTCCCTGTGGACTCTCGCGGACACACACGTTAGCACACAATGACACACTCAAGCCATGGCCCTAAAAGGCATCCATAAATCTGATTGTAACTCAAATAGCCAATGTAAAACCACAGTTATAAATTAATAAAAGGAATCATCCATTGCTTCTTCAGGCCTCTCCGCTTCTGTTCTTTCTCATTTTCTCTGTTTCATCTGCTGCTCACATATTCTCTTTCCGCTCTGTCGGTCTGTTTCCTCCTGTGATCAAAGACCCCTCTCCCTGATAATAGTTGAGCGTTGTGCCTGTGTGTGCGTTAGATATAGCGGCTGCTATTTTTCTCTAATCATTTTCTCTCATTAGAGACGAGGGCAGAGCGCACACGCGTACCCACAGAGTGCAGTCGCAGGAAATGAACATGCATGCTAAAGGTTTCCATGTCAAGGCACGTGCACAACCCTGCATACACGCACGTACCTACACGTCTTAGAAACAAGGTTTTAGCCTAGGCCCGTTGTACAGGCAGATAGTAATGAGGGGACCTCTTACAATATTTAATGCCATCCAAACTCCCCACACACACATCCACCCTCAGTCTCATTAAACTGGCGTCTCTTACTCCAGACCGTTGTCCTCCATCACGGCGATCCACATTTACTACCTAACTGGGTGGC